ACAGACAGACAGACAAACAAACAAACAGAGACATACAAGGGCCTGAGACATGCAGTTGCAAAAGCACCTCCAGGAAAAAAGCATACATACATACATACATAACTACATACATACATACCTGCATACCTGCACCATGCCATACCATGCCATACCATACATACATACATACCATACCATACCATAACATAAATACATACATACATACCTACCTACCGTACCCTACCCTAATCTAACATAGCATAACATTACACAGTATAAGTATATATCCTTCCCCGCATTACCTTCATATCGAAATCCCCAATTGGATCCCAGCTGGGTCCCGGGTTGGGGCATTAAAGGAGGCATTATATTGTATATAGCTTACCCAAGACTCTTCACAGGGAGCATCAGTGCTCGCATGGCTGCTTTTAGCTCATGGTAGCCGATTCCAGTGCCTCGTTCAAAGGAGGCGCAAAAACTTACAGACCAATCACCGTCTGAACTCTCATATTGATGGCGCCCCGTCTGTTTCAGAAGGTTCGTGTCACTCATAGGATTAGCGCTAGCCGCCTTCCACGTTCAATGCATCGAAGGCAGATTTGATCTCTCGTTCTCGCTCCTCGGCAGTAGCAGAACTCAGCCCGGCCGGTTGTCCTCATCCTAATGCCCGCACTGTCAATGCCATATTGTAAATAACAAATACAGTATATATACACTGTAAACATATATATTTAAATATAAATAAATATATATATATATATCTGTGTGACGGGGCGTGTTTGCGTGCATTGTTGACAGTGCATAATGGGCTCAATGCAACCAAAACACCCGCTCCAGTCTCGAAAGGCCGGACTTTTTCCTCCAGTCCAAAGCCATTGCGCCGTGCTGCACCCGTCCAAATCCGCTCAAGTTCATGAAACATGACCTCTTCCAAACCCTGTATACAAGCATGTCTAGCTCGCCAAAGCTAAGCGGGATGGCGACGTCACTAAGCATTCGCATCTTGCCAGTGCTAGGCTGCTTGTCCAGTGTTTGATGCTTGCCTTGTCCAAACAAAAGAGAGCCACTGCCTCGAGTCTGCCTTCCCCCCTTTCCCTCCTTGTCTCACTTCAATCGCTTCAACTATGAAAAAGAAACCATCTAGAATAGCTAAACATAGTCACATAGTTAATTAAAAAAATTAAACAATACGCTAAATGGTTGTTCCTATTTCTTCCTACATTCCGAGCATGAGGCTGTCATGTAGACTGTTGATCGCAGAGTGGCCAAGCATGGCCTAGGCGAACTCGTGATTGCAGTTTGTTGCTTCAGATTGTTTCTGCATATAGACATGCCGCTACGACATCTGAGTGCTGAAATACAGCATTCTGTTAAAATCTCTTTGACTTCTCCACCAGCGCCTATCTGATGCTCAAAGCCTAAATCTTGCCATCCTTCCAGACAAGCTGCGGCCACCACCCCGCTACCTGTCGATCCAAACCGGCCGAACCATGACTAATAGACCGAGACTGGCCACTTGCGGGGCCTAGTGGATCCAGCCCCGGCCAAGCACCAAGAGCCTCCACATCGCAGAAACGGTGAAAACTTGCTGGGGGCATGAATAGAGTCATGTTATGTACATCGCATGAGCAAATGAAGATACATCTTACATCTGGAGGGCTCCGGCTGATCCAAGTTGTGAGGTCAGCGCCACACCAGCCTCCGAGAGCAAACGTCTATGGCAAGCCATGTGTGGCAAACGGCCTAATTCGCAAGGAAGTACTGTAGATAAAGACGCCCAGGCAGCTGCTGCTAAAGAGTCTGATCTGTGATGCCACGCTGTAGCTACCTCATCTTGCTTTGCCAAATGCTGACATCCCACCATGCGGCTGGTGTGATCCGAGCTAAACACTGCAAGCTTGGACCTGAAACTGAAACTCAACACTTTTCTACTATTGAAGGCTTGCCACCACAAATCACAACCTCCACATTCCACATGCTTTCTGGAGCAAGCGGCTGGGCTTGCTCGCCAGCATCAAGCGTTGCATGGTAAAGGGCCTGGTGGCGAAGCTCACAGAATCAGCAGAACGATCAAGCAATATCGAGCACGATGGAGGCGCTCCTCCTTCAAAACCATGGATGCCACACCTACAGATTGCTCTCCGACAAATTGGGGTGCAACTAGCTGGTGAAAACAACTCACAAGAAACAAGTGGAATGAGACACAAACCAAGGATTCAAGATCTGCAGCAAAGATGCCTACTGCAATCGCTGCACGGCGCAGTTGTCTGTTGAGGCCTTTCGCTGCAAAAATGATGCGTTGTCAACTGGAAGGCCGCTTCACAAACTTGCGCGACATTGGAAAGTACACTTCCGAGCTTCAATTGCAACGGCCACTTTTGACCTCGCAGGAATTCGCACGAAGCCTGCCGCTGCAGCTATGCGATCCTATGCGACCTTGTGGCTTTCTCAATGCCTTGTCCGCACTGAAGTTCGAGATGACTTCTGAGAAGAACCGGGAATCGCTGCAAGTTCCTGCTGCGAATCCGGGAAGTTCCTGCGTGGATCGCCGGGTGCTGCATTGGTCTCATCGGGTTGTCTTGCGAGGGCGCAAAACAGATTGCACAGCATCCAGAATATCAAGCAAGTCCTTGGAAAGCAAAGCAACTGGAGAGCTTGCAATCCCCCCCAACTTCCAACCCATGTTTTTGATGCTACTGCATTGCTTGCCTTCTACTTCTGCACTTTGGAACTCTTAACGCCAGTCAAGATACCAGATTGTGCGACATCCAGGAGCACTTCCACAAAGCGATCAGCTATGCCAGGTGGAATGGTGTGGCCACCCTTGAACTCGTGATACTCCGCATTCAGCATCTGCATCCTAAACGGTGGGACATATAACAAGCCGGACAAACAGCATTCTCACTCTCGTCTCTTTTGAATCAAGGTTAAGCAGTTAAGCGGCTCATCGCGGCAAAACTCATGCATCCAGCGACCGCCGTTAACTCCTCGGTGGCAATCTGCATCGCCCCAAATGGCCCAAATATGAAAAACAAAAAGAGAAGCTACGGTACTACACGACATCGATCAAACGATGAAACGACCCACTGCAACCCGGAAGCCCACAGCAATGTCACCAGTGCCGTGGCTTTGTACCATAGGAATTGAACTCCACTCCTCGCAGGCCAATGTGTCCGCCATCGTGTGGAGGGAACAATTCTTGTAGAGTGTGCCATTGGATGGCATCGAAAAATGTTGGATGCCCATTAGGGCTAACGGCTAACGTTACAATATTCAATATGTGATTGAGAGAGAGTGGGCCATCTCTTGATCTAGCTACGAGCAAAGCATCTCCCACTCCTGCGCCTTCTTGAGACACTGCCTCCAGTGTTGCCTTTGGGCGATCAAGGGGCTCATGGAGGACTTTGCCCCGTGGCTGCAATGCTGCTTTCATGTGTGTGTGTGTGTCATGTTTTTTTGTGCCGCCACACCCAGTCTTCTACTGAGCCATGGCAGCCAGGAGCGCCTGCACATCAGTGAGCCGGAGAAAAAGCCCAAGGCTGCTGGTCGCTTTGGGAGGTGCAAGGCTACATCCATGGCAGCCGCTGCACCTGGAGATGGGTTCTTCTGCAAAGAATCGCTTTGTTCTGGTTCCGCACTGGGCACCTATGTCAATGTGAGGTGGTCTAGTGACTTTGGTGAGTTGCGACCCACATCCGCAAACTCTACAGAAGCAAGCAGCTATATAGAACTGCCGGCATCCCGAATGCCTACAGGGTTTTTGTGCACGGGTAGAACACTGAGGCCAAATTACATGTCTCATTGGTGTGCTATGCAAAAGTGGGAGGCAACAGTCCCCCGCAGTCAGCTGTCCATCCTTGCTTCATTTTTCTTGCGGCTGAGAATGTTTGCGCTTGGTTGGCGAACGGTTACGCCTTGGCAAGCCCATTGGCAAACGGCCGCTGACGCGCCTCAGCCAAACACTTGGCCACATCAACGTGACCTCTTTTGGCTGCCAAAGTCACTGCTGTCTCCCCATTATCCAAAGCAGCATGAATGTCTGCACCCGCTTGCAACAACATGCTTGCAATCTCAAGCCGTCCATACTGAGCCGCAAGAAGCAATGGGGTGGAACCATCTTCCATTCGTTTGTTGTGATCCGCCCGAGCTTGGAGCAAGCTCTTTGCCACAGCAGTTTGGCCAAACTGGGATGCGATGCCTAAGGCGGTGAAGCCCATGTCAGCAGTTGCATCGGGGTTAATTCCAGCATCAAAAAGGCAAGGGAGCCAGCGTTGCCAACCCCTGACAGCAGCCCTGATCAATAAAGTCTCAGCGCTCTTCTTTGTTTCTTCAGCATTCCCAAACTGCAAGAGGCATTGAAGCACCTCTATGTGGTTTTGTTGTGCAGCGGTGAGCAGGTTGTGGCTCCTTTCACTCCCAGAAATCTCTTGGTCGGCACCCGCTTCCAGTAAAGCCCTGACAACTTCATAGTGCCCCTCAACAGATGCCACATACAAGGGCGTCTCACCATCACAGGTGGCAATGCGCGGATCAGCCTTACAGCTAAGCAAGCACTTGACGACGTCATAAAAGCCATGGTCCGCAGCAACCAACAAAGGTGTGGACTTCAAAATGTCAGCCTGATTCGGGTCAGCTGCTGCTTCAGCGAGGAAAGAAACCACTTCCTCATAGCCATTACTAGCAGCGGCATAGATCGGGGTTTCTAAGCTGTGATCTTGCTGGTTTAGGTTCGCTTTCGCACGCACTAGACACTGCACAACTTCGAGGTTGCCATTGGACGCCGCAAGGAACAATGGGCAAGTCCCCTCGCAGAGGCTGGTGGCTTCCAAGTCAGCACCTCAAAGACCATTCATCATGCGTAAATGGGACATTTATGGAATAGGCATGAATAGGCATGGGCATGTATAACTTCCATGAATTTCAACATGAGTTTGTTTGGGCTATTCGCCTGCTTCCAGCAGCAGCTGCACAACCTCCAAGCATCCAGTGGCACCAGCAATGCATATTGCAGGTGCGCCATACATATCCATGACGTTCCTTGGCTGGTGACTACCCCACGCAGCGACTACAGTGGCAGCCAGGTCAAATTTTCAGCAAACCTGGCATCTAACAATGACAAAACTCTAAGAATGTCTTACCTCCTTCCCCCAAGAATGCCTGGTAAAAAAAGAACCCGAACACATCACCTCCATGCTGGAAAAACGCGGCTCTTGCCCTCGAGTCAGCACGTCTTCAACGCTGCTAGGAGAACAAGAGCTTACGGCATTCAGCAGTTCAGAAGTGTAGCCAGTGACCTTGGCATTCAGTCTTTTAAGCCGCACGTGCAGCTGGAGAAAGAAAAAAACATCTGGTAACCAGTGCATGCAACAGAACCTGACCGTACAGAACACCGTTGTATACAATTGAATCTATAAGAGTTAGGTGTGGTGAAGCACCAACGACCCGCTCAAAAGGCCTCAACATGTCTCAAGCTGCAAATCTGATTGCCTGCCTCTGGTTCTTGCCAGTCAGCTCACAACTTCGGAAGTGAAGGAACAAAAGCATGCATGCCAAAGCGGCAGCTCCCATGAAACGAAGCAAAGCTTATGATAAGCTTTAAACCCGTGCAAAAGCCTTTAAATGCCTTCATGTTTTTGGGTCTAGCCTTCTCAGCCCAGCACCGGTCGGAGTAAGGTCAGTTGAAGCTCCTTTGGCTCTCCCAGGCTCTGCCACGAGCGCCTCAAACGTGCTTCCGCAGCTACTTGAGCGGAAACGATTGTCCGATTGGCTTGATGCAGGTAGCCTGCTGAACAAACACGGGTTCTCAACCATGGAACTCTTGCATGATATGGATAGAAATGTGGCCAGCCTTCTTTCTACGCATTGGTGTCCCACCAGCAGTTGCTGCCGAAAGCGGCACATCCCTGTGGTTTGTGATATCTGCCACTGAAGCTTCGCTGCGAAATCATCGCCTTCCAGATCTGCCAAAACCCATTCGCTTTCCTGGGTGCAGCACCGGCTCTGACTGGACTTTGCACTGATGCGGACTGTTCCAAGCTGGGTTCAAACAGCTGCGCGGTGCGCGGCCAAGCTTCATAGATCAATTCGCCACTGATGGCCCACCGCACGGAGATGCGAGTAGTGGCATCACTCATTTGCTCATCACATGCAGGGCACAGTCGTAGTTCCAACTCTGTTTATGAGCGAGCTCCCGTGAAAAGCCTCTGGCTCTAGACCACCCACCAAGAGCCTTTGGTACTGGTTCTTGACTGTCTCTGAATGCTAGCTGCTAGCAGTGCCTAGCAGATTGAACTTGAAACATGTCTACTGCTCTCCCCCTTTGAGCCAATCTGCAGCCCTGATACAGAGATAAAGTGGCTGCAGCCGCAGCTTCTGAATGACGGCCGGTGTGGGAAAGAGCAAAACAGAACATCTATGCCATGTGTAGAAGTCAGTGGCTTGCCTACACAACCTCCAACCCTGACTCTCTCTCTCTCTCATTTGAATCCGTCCCGGGCACCTTGAGAGAACCCTGCTAAAGCCACCCTCTCCAGGGGCATCTGCATGGATTCCCTTAGAGCCTCAATCCCCGCAAGGATCGCAGCTCTGGAAGTCTCCAAAAATGCTGGCTCGCCATCCTTCAGCAAATCCAAGGGGTTCCTAGGCAAGTTGCTGAGACGAAGTGAGTTACGCAACAACGTGTTCAACATTACACAACTCTTGTGCATGCGATACTTGATGATATCGGACCTCTATGGCTCAGGCTCAAGAGTGCTAGTAGTCAAATGTGCTGTATTAGGTAATCATCGGCATTTTTAGCGGCAGCCTTAAATGAACTTTTGTTACACAATGAAGGGCAAGCCTCTTCTTCTGACCAGACTGAGGAGTGGTTTTGGAAGTGCCTTCACTCTTTTCGGGAGGACCTGTGCCATGTTGATCTTTGGCACGTTGGAGCAAGTCAATAACAGTTGCCGTGTCCGTACCTGCCAAACAACAAGGCCATGCACCAAGTTCGAACCCCCTAGAGGTGACAACCCCAAACTTCATACAAGCTCATACGTTCGCCCGGGATACGGTACCAAAAGTGGAGCTTGCCATCTCTGAGAGGACTAGCGGGTAACACCACTGCAATCCCCGCAGCTCGTAGAAGCTCAACCTTTGGACCGAAGAGCCGCTGTTCAATCTCAAAAGGCTGACCGCTTCCATGGAGAAAGAGAAGCACCAAATGGACGTCTCCTTGCAGGACGCATTCGGACACATGTGTACGAAAGATGCATAAGATGATGTGTCTAACAGGCGATGATGTGTGCGCGTGGCCGATAGCCAGGCCATGAAGATGCATGAAGGCAGTGCTGCTCGCGTTGCGAGTGAAAAGAGCGGGCCTCTTAAATATGCTGGTCCTGCAGGCACGAGGAGCTTGCATTGAAGGTCTGCAAAGCGAGCATCCTCCCATCGAACTGGACCTTGGGCCAAACTTCGGAGTGCCCAACTCCCCCCAAAAGGCAAACTATATACGTTACATAGCTGGCATGTCCCCTTTCAACCCATTGCTCCATCATTGACAGCAAAGGGTCTCACTTCTGAAGGATCTGCATCTTCCAAGGAGTCGAAGTCAAACATGCCATCAACCCTGTTGTGCCAAGGTTTTGGATAATGCTCAAGCTGAGCTCAGCCTCGACTGGTGTTCATCTCCGTCACACTCGAGCGCTGACTTGAGCCAAATCCAGGGAGGGAGTTATATATTATATATTTATAAGTGTTGTCAACTACAGGAAGGCTCACAACGGTGCCAAGTCTGTAGGGAAATTACTACAAATGATGAAAACAGTCAAATCTAAGTATGGAAGGGCCTGTCTCATGTTGGCACGGTGAGCTGTCCAGTCCTCGCAGAACCAATTTCGAACGCAAATCAAGTCCACAGCTCTTCTGAGGGCTAGGCTCTCTTCCTCTCTGTTAGCTGTGAGAACCTGCAATCGGCATGGGAACTCCTCAACAAATTGTTTGGAGATCCTAACTACATTACATATCTATATAGCTCAATGCTTTCAGTGGAACAGCTCGGCCGAGGACTCGTCTGAAGAAAAACTATCTGTACAGTACAAACAGTTGCCCGTGCACCTCTTTCTGCGTCTCCTTTCCTGCTGAAACATTCGCATCAATTTCGCATCACACTCCGCCAAAAGAACAGCAAGTCATCACAGCCTGGAGCTCTATGTCTTGCAAATGCTCTTCTGAGCATACGAGCGCCCCACCTCCAACCCCCAGTTTTATGCGTTGCCATGCAACAGCTCTCATGGAGTTCTAGAATCCAATGTCACACTTTTCAGAGAGCGCAACTCCAATCACAGTGGGTGTGATTGCAAGCAATCAACTGCAAATGGTCCTTTTCATTTCCCTCTTTAGTCAGTCCTGTAGCTGAGTCGTTGCATGAACGTCCTGCAATGCTGCTCACAGGAGGAAGCAAACAATGGGACCACTTACACCACTTGAGTGGGTCCTTGTTGGAAAGCCGCCAGCATGGGTCTAAGCGAAGTAATGCTGTCATAGCCTCAACTCAACTTCAACTTAGCTGGATACAACTAGACGACTGGTGCGGTACCCCAAGGTTCAACCAATCTCATATGACTGCCATCTTCAAGCCAAAGGCAGACTCTTGATTATTCAAAGAACCTGATTTGGTTGTAACACCTCTTCTTTTTTTTGCCTCTCGCGCACACGACGGGTTCGCCCGTCTGTACAGTGTCAACTGCATTCCACAGTTTGACAATCAGAAACCCTATGGACAGCAGCAAAGAAAAAGAACCGACACCAACCCAAATCATTGAAAGAATTCTCGAATCGCAAACTCCCATGCAGTGAGATTTGCTCGCACAACACGGCTTGCAATGGAAGTTAAACAAGTGAGATCATCATTACTCCTCCATGGTCGTGCTCCAGCAACGATTCCGCTCGGCATAGTTTTGCCCCAAGCATTGTGATCAATGCGATCGTGGGTGCCAGGGTGCAAGGGCAGGAGTCCCCTTCGGGGAAGTAGTCCAAACCATTTTTTGATACAGCAAATCAAACTCTTGAACGTGTAAAACTCATCCTGACAAGCATCAATGCGAAAACCTTGGCAGAGAAAGAGGATGGCAAGTTCAGCGTACGAGATTCGCGCAGTTTCATCAACCATCCATCTTAATCCTTGCAGAAAAGAAATAAACTGAAGCCAATCAGAGGGCGAAGAGTTCCACCCACGGCAAGGGATTTCAGTGAAAGCAACTGGCACCACCCAATCATAGTGAGTTGCTTCAGCATTCCAAGGCAGCAATGGAAAACGTGATTCTGGACCAACAGTTTCAACCGGCTCATCATCGGACTCAGGCTCTTTGGGCGGGAGAGTGTTACCAACCAGTTTACAAAGCCCAGTCAACCATTGCTGCCTATGTAAGACAGCGTTGCAGAGTTCCTGATAGACTTCATGGTGTATCGGGGCATTTCGCAAGGCAGCCTTTTTGGCAATGACATCTGCGCGTCGGTTATTTCGAATGTCCAGCACGGTCGTGTTGTGCGCACCTGCAATTTCTGGCATTTTCTGGCGAAAGAAGAAAGTCAGGCACATCTTCAGCAACGTGTGCTGGAAACCAAACACAATCAAGAGGTTTGATGTCAATGGTCATCCGCGCTTTCACTAAGTGGTCAAGGAAACTCCACCACGGTTGAAGCGGCCATGTGGGATGGTGAACCCCTTCATGAAGCATACTCAGCACATGTTCGGACATGGTTTTACAGTCCGTTCGTACTTGGATGGGGCCAGAGGCTGCTGCGAAGGCAACAATGAGAGCCCAAAGCTCCGCCGCATAGCTCGAAAGGTTCCAATGGTGCACTGGTCCTTGGTGGAGCGTAGACCCATCATGATTGATGACTGAAAAACCAGCACAGGTGAGCAAAAAATGGTTGGGCCACTGAACTGAGCCATCAGTCCAAACCGTACACATTGGCTGGGTGGCATGCCATGTTTCAATGTGCAAGTCATGGGGGCTTGAAACTTTCAAACGATATGTCAGCACGGAACGTGGGTGTTCGACAATGCCAAGGAGTTCGAAATTCGGTCCAAGTTCATGAACAGGAGGCGGCTTAGAGATGGCATGCAATTCAGAACACTCCCTAACAAGGTGTGGTAGGGATTCCTTTGAGGAGCCACATAGCCTACACTCTGCATCAGGAATGCGTTTTGCTGCAGCTAGCCGATCTTTGGTCAAGACACAGCCTACCAGCTGGGCCTCAAAATAGGCACGATTTGGAATGTCCTCAAGTTCGGGCTCGACATGACGAAGAAGCGTTGTGGACAGCCAAAAATCTAAAACTCCAGTGGGGGCCCGGAGATCTTTCCTACTTTGATTACCCGCTAAGCTGTAGCACGCATGCCGAGCAAGTTGCTGAAGGACAGGCCGTATGTCGCGAGGATAAAGCTGATCCAAGCAGCAAAGTTCACTGCCAGCATGCTCAATGATGCCATCATTGCGCAAATGGAGGCCAAAGAAATGGAAAGCTTCTTGCAGTCTACCTGTGAGTGCATTCTTATGTTTATTAGGGAACTTGAGGAGATTGAAGAACCTGGCCCATTCATCCGGAAAAAGATGAAGATACCTGCAGACATCGAGAGTGGCATTGTATTGCCTAGCACACGAGGGTTCCACACGATGGGGTTTGCACAGGAAAGCAAAAACCAAGAATTTTGCTCGCCAATTTGGGCGATTATGCCAAAGTGTAGTGACAATTTCACCTTGTATGCGAGCAAGTGCACGTGCGGGAATGACATTAATGGCGGCATTATATGTGCACTGTGGGATCATGTTGGGTGGAAATTGGGAGGCAAGCAATGTTTTTGACATCGGCAATAATCTTCGCAACTTTTTCATCAGAAAAATGGCCAACAGTCCTAGAGCTCGTTTGGATGTGAACACCGAGCACTTCAAGTTCAAAGGCAAAATGCATGGAGGGAAAAAGCGTCTTAACGCATTTACGAGCATCAGTCGAGGTCCCCCAAATGGTACATTTGGCCCAATTCATAGCCTGGCCAACGAGATCATCCCACGTTTGTGTGATGCGAATGGCATGATAAAGGTCGTTCTTGTGGATGAGCCTGGTCCACAAGTAAGCGTCATCTACAAAAGCTTGGGCGGTGACTGTAGGAAGGACATCAAGCAAATGTATCCAGACCTTCATATGCACACTAATGGCAATTAATGATAAACTGCATCCTTGGGCAACACCGTTTGGCCCATGTGTAGCATGCGGTTGAACCCATGACTTATAGGAAAGGTGTTTGGACAGACCCTGATACAGTTTAAGGAAGATAGACACCACACAAGAAGGAGCGCCAAACGCGAGCATGAGCGCTCCAGCGTACTCAGGGATGATTCTATCGAAGCATTTGGCTTTATCAATTTTTACACCAATGACATCACAACTCTCATTACGCCTATCCTCTAAGGTCAGGGCGAGACTAGTGTGTATCGCAGCCATGTGCCTCTGTGGTATTCCACCTTGCAATTGTTTAGGCATGATGGGCATTTGCCATTGACGAAGGTGTGCAAAACGTGCGCCTGTGTAAGCAAGGAGGACGACAGGAAGCAGGGTAATGAGGCGTTTCTGAAGCGGTTCAGAGCTGCCATTTTTATTGAGTATCACTTGGCGTGCAGTGGCCATAACACTCGGAAGTGGTTCAGTGCTATGTTCAATTCTACGAAAGAGCGCAGCAAACCAAGCAAAACACTCAATAGGAAGCTGTTGCATTTCAGTAGTGCGCCATCCATCGAGGCCTGGGGCAGCGACCTTTTCTCTATGCTTGACCACTTGGAACAAATCAGAACCCGAGAGGATGGGAACCTCATATTCGTAGTGGTAGTGATGGATGTGAGGCCAAACAATGTCAAGCATTTTAAGCGCAGGAGGGAATCCCATGTTGGCACTGAACACGGAGTCCCACTGGCTATTAATTTCCGTGAGGGCAGTTTGGGGATCAAACACGGCATTACCACTTGCATCAACAACCAAGTTTGCAGGTTCGGTTTGGGCCTTTCTCTTGAGGTGTTGATAGAGAAAACCGGACCCATTCTTAGCCGAGTCCTGGATTTTTTGCTGCCAACATCGAATGCGTCTGAGCTTGATCTTTAGTTCAGTGAATGCTATACGATCTTGGACCCACTGGATGGCAACGGTCACATCGACAAGTGTGGGTCTCCGGGACGGTGGCCACAGGCATGGTGCACGAAGCCTCGCAAGGCGGTTCCAAACTCTCACGAACGTGCGATGCTGAATCCAACGTCGGTTTCCACACGCACTGAGTTGGGAGAGGAAAATCTCAATCTCCCTTAGTCCTCCTAGGGCATTATAAAGCCATGAGCAAACACGGTTGGTGGCGGGGCCACTCTTGAGTTGTCCTGGACACACTCGCTTGGGGCGAAACTCGATGGGTTGACCACGTTGCTGAGGGCCAGGTCCCCACGTAGCTGCATTATCCAAGAGGGTTTGTACACAGGCCGAATTGGTTTTCTGCCAGCAAGACTCAATATCATCAAATTCAGACCATGGTGGACTTTCCGTCACGTGGGGACATTGAGACGGAGACATGGAAGAAAAGACAAAGGGTGCAGTCTTGAACAAAGTGAACCCAGTTTGCCAAATACGTTCCCACAACAAGGTGAGTCTGATTGGTCTATGTTGCACCTTGAAATGACTAAGGACTTCGGCTTCAGTGATGATGGCAGAAGCAGCAACACGATTGGCCAAAATGGCATCGATGCTAGAACATCCATCGCCGAACCCAGAAAAAGTCCCATTGGCAGAAAACGTCAAAACCCGATTGCAGGAGTCATCAGTGCGCTGGTCAATGGGGTCCACCCATTGATGGAAATTGATGGCATTGGCAACTGCTTCATACTGCAAAGGTTCCGTTTGGAAATCACCCGCAATGAAGACAGGTATGTCCCCAAATTGGCTAATAATCTCAAAGATTTCAGCAAGAACCTCATTGTTGGCTTGAAGGATGTCTCTGTCCTGACTAGCACCGGTTCTACAATAAACGTTGAAGACAAGAGCCTTCAGCTTCTGCGTGATTTGAATCCAAACGGCTTGCACTCTCTTACTCTGAAAAAGGCGGTCGTACTTTCCGGTTGCATCATCCTTTGGATGGAAAGGAACCGTGAGTTCAGCTGGTGCAGCAACTGCAACCCCACCATGCGGTGTACGGAGAACCCCGTTTGATGCAAAAAGCCCAGGGAGAAGCGCACCTGGGAAAAGGGTCATTCCAGTTTGTGCAACAAGGTGCTTGGCGCTGTTGACACAGTTCTTCCCAATGCGGGTTTCTTGCAAACATGTAATTGCAGAGTCCCATGTTTTCCAACATGTGGCTGTCTTAATGGATCCGATGTTGGCCGAAAAAATGGACCATGGATGTGACACAGAAGGGCCTTCACCTGGGAAGCCCAAAGTGGAATCAAAGGACTGAGGTGCATGGAAGAGTTTCAAAACATTGAGTTGGTGGATGCAAAATAAAAACACGAC